TAAATTTTGTCGGCCCATAAAAAATGACCTAAGGAACATTAGTCATCATCTCGCCATGATCATTCCTTCTTTTTGGCGTTTTAGGGCAATAAATTTGGTATTCCACCTGATTCCCAGATTTCCGTGTGCTCTTGGGCGCCCCGACTCTAATCTCTTAAATAATATTTTGCCCATAAAAAATGACCTAAGGAAGATTATTCATCGCACCATGACCGTTCATCCTTTTTCGATGTTTTAGGGCCATAAAACTAAAATTTCGCCCTATTCCCATATTTTCGTATATCATAGGCGTGGGCTTGGGTGTCCGGACCCAGATCGCTTAAAATTTTGTTAGGTCATCAAAAACGACCTAAGGAACAATAGTCATCGCTTCGCCATGACCGTTCCTCTTTTTTGACGTTTTAGGGCTATAAATCTGGATTCCGCCTGATTCTCATATTTTTGTATGTCATAGCCCACTCCACCGGTGTGGGCCCGCCCTAAACCGGATCGCCTAAATTTTTCGGCCCATAAAACATGACCTAAGGAACATTAGTCATTGCCTCGCCCTGACCGTTTCTCCTTTTTTGACGTTTTAGGGCTATAAAACTGAAATTTCGCTCGATTTTTAGATTTTTCATGTGCTATCACGCCACCGGCGTGGACCCGGGCGCACGGATCCGGATCGCCTAAAAGTTTGTCGTCCCATAAAAATGACCTAAGGAACATTGGTCATCACTCGCCATGACAATTCCTCCATTTTTAGTGTTTTAGGGCCATAAACTAGAATTCCGACGGATTCCCAGATTTTAATGTGCTATAAAATTTAAGATGATTTCTAATTTTTCGTATGCTAATGTCCACGCCATAGTCATTAATTCGGACGATGAGCTCCGAATCGCTCAAAATTTTATAGGCCCATAAGAAACGACCTAATGAACAATAGTCATGGCTTCGCCATGGTTGATCCTTATTTTTTGGCATTTTCGAGCCCCATAACACAGGAATTCGGGACAATTTTTAATTTTTTATGTGCTAATGTCAACGTCATCTCCATGAATTCAGGCGACGGTCACCAAATGACCTAAAATTTTCTGGGCTCCTCAGAAACGACCTAATGAATAATTGTTATCGCTTCGCCATTATTGTTCCTCATTTTTTTAGTTTTAGGTCCATAAAATAAAAATTTAGGACGGGTTGCAATTTTTTGCCTCTACCTCTCATTGGACCCACAATAGCCAACCTAAAAATTATGAAAGACCGAGTTCAAATTCTAGTAATGTCAAAAAAAAAATGCATTGGCAATATTAACCTCCATGACTAGGGCTGTTCATTTGGATCGGATATCGAAAATCCGAACCGATCCATTCAATTTCGGATTTTGGATTGGATCGGATTTGGGATTGTGTTTATTAACATTTCAGATTTCGGATCGGATTAGTATATTTTAATCCGATCCGATCCGGAATCCGAAATTATTAGGGCATGTATAAATACTACACTTTAATTTCGGATAGTCAGTACTTTTTTTACATCAACCTCCAAGTTATTACCTTTACAATTGTTAGATTTAGCTATATTGGCACCATTGTACTCTCATAATTGCATAAATATGATTTTTTTTAATGTATTGCCTCTTTTACAAAGAAAATATACATATTAGTTTAATTTTGATGCATAATAATACGATCCGAAATTCGATCCGATCCAAACTTCAAAATTCGATCCGATATAATTCGGATCGAATTCGGATTGCATTTTCTAGAATCCGAAATCTGAATCTAAAATGTGCTAAATCCGATCCGATCCGATCCGTTCACAACCCTACATGACAAACATTCATGAGGGAAAATACACACAATCATGGCAGAATAAGGACTTATTTAAGACGCGCATAAACCGACTCAAATACCACAATTGAAAAAAGACAACAACAACAACAACGACCCAGTGAAATTCTACTAGTGGGGTCTGGAGAGGGTAGTGTGTACGCAGATCTTACCCCTACCTCGAGGGAGTAGAGAGGCTGTTTCGGAAAGACCCTCCGCTCAAGAAGAAGAACACAATTGAAAAAAGATTGAAGAAAAAAAAATCGCACTTTGAGTTTGAAAAGAATACAATTATGGGAAACCAAAAGAATATTGTTGCAGAGCCCTAATGGATTTGCCTTGTCCTCATTGATCAAAACTGGTTTGTACTTATTCTGTTTTATTGCCAAATTTGAAAATGAACCAAACATGACTGCAAATTTGAAAAAGGAAACAAGCTTAAAGAGATGGACAAATAGTTCATCTGACATATGTCGTGGGTTACCAATTTGCATGTTTTTTTTAATAGTTTGTATTAACTCCAAACCTGTTGCTACATGAATCATTTATATCCAATCAGTTATCGCATACGCAAATTCTTTACTTCCATTTGTTCTATTGTTAGTTGAATTTGTAGACTACGGGAGATCATAGGTCTCTTGAGACAATTTTCCTCTACACAATTTTAGGCTTTAGTACTTATAATGTTGCACCTACATTAAAATCTGCCTGATTATACTTTCCTTTAACCAAGTCTATCGAAAACAACCTTTATATCTTCACAAGGTAGGGGTAAGTCTACATACACACTACCATCTTAGTTAGTTTATCTGTCACTAGAAAGACACAAGTACCTTAAGAGGTCGTGAATTAGCTTTCAAACAAAGCAATCCAACCTATTTTAACCCGCCCATTTGCTACCACTACCCGTAGTTATAACTGAACCTTTTTTTACCTTCAGCCCTCGACAATCTACCTATTGAAAAGATGTGAAGCACAAAGATTTAGCACACAAGCATCATCAAATTCCATTTTAGAACAGCATAATGAGGTGTAGTGGAGAGTGATACAAACGTTCAGCAAGAATTAGTTTCTTCAAAATATGGACATAAATGCATCGTCACATAATGAAGTTTATCAGCCACCTAGTCATAATCATGAGATTCATGACATGGAAAGAAATCAACTTCACAGAGAACCACGGTCGATACTCATCCTTTAGCAGCATCTTGTGTGAATGGTGAAACAAACAACAATAATAGAACTACCAGTTTCCAGTGTCAGCAACATGAAGTCATTTACTGCTATGTTATCTCTAATGGCTTATACAGTAAATAACCATATGAACTCAGCAGGTGTCAGTAATTCAGCTCTCTAGTCTCACTCACTCAAGATGGGAGAGGGGAGCTAGGGGGAAAAGAATCACAGTCCACCATCTGTGTCATTAGGCACTCAAGAAATATGCTGGTCACTTTGGGCCAGTGACCACGCAATCTGCAGATCCTTGGAACCAGTGATCATCCAACTAGAATGTAATATTTCATGTTTTTCTTCTTAGTAACATTAAGATTCAGAAACAGCTTCAACATGCATTCATCAGAATTCATTCAGGGTCTCACTGCAGCATATATCCAAGCAGATGAGCTCAATGTAAATTGGTCATGTCAATTTGGCAGAGCACTACCAAAATAAGAAGTCTACGCCCAGCATATAATCTATTAAAAATGGCATGCAGTTGTCTAGTCTGAACATCAGTGCAGTATGTATTCTTACACAACTAGTCAATAATTATGAGAATGATTTTGTACTAAGTCACATGACTTGAAATTAGACTATTAGAGTTGATGTTAAGTTACAACTGACCACCTACAAAAGTTTGAGCAAGTATCAGCTAGTTCATAGGAAAGATCGACATCAGGTTAGGAAGTAAAAATTTGCATCAACAAGCATTGCTTGTACCCCATATCCAAGCCACATTTCTGGAAGCTTCCTATGTCATGTCAAAGAATTCTCCGCCGTTCCCTTTTTCGTTTTCTTTCAGCACAAGAGTGACACATAATGATTGGAAATCACAATTTCTCCCTACAACACACGTGTATTCATGAAAAAATAAAATTCCACATTTTCTCTCATTTTATCAATATCCATCTTATAGTGAAGATCTCAGAACATTTTTATGCTTCTTGTATTTTGAGTTTATATCTAGAATTTGAATGAATAATTTGCATTTTATCTATCGCAAATTCAAATTGTTACATTTTGGCCTTCTTTATACTGATATAGTCCTCAAAACAAGCAAAAGTCTACAAACATTGGAGAGAGCAATTCATTTCAGAATTGAACTGCAGTCTGCAGCATATACACAAAGCATATAAGCTCACTGCAGACCAGCTCATAAGAACCTTTGGCAGAGCAATACCCAAAAATAAAAAGCCTAGGCCCTGCATATGCTGGAAGTGACACGACCAGAGTATGCCTATCTGCACAACTACCTAACGCTATATGATAACGCTATTATAGTAAGTACATGACATTTTAGGTTATAGTTGCTTTTAAGGTACAGGTGAAGTGGTGAACAGGGTAATAAGTTTTGAGCTATTATCGCAGATATCAGCTCTCTCATAGGAAAAGTTGGTATCGGAATAGGAACTAATAGTATGACCTCAGTTATGATTTTAGACTCGAGCAGATACCCCTACAGTCAATTTACAAGTATTTCGTGCACCCCCACATTCCAAGAGCTAAATTACTGGAAGTGGAAGCTTCCAGTGTCATGCCAAATAAATCTGTGGTCCCTCTTTATCACTTTCTTTCAGTACTAGAGTGATGCACAATATTTGGAAGAGGACATTTTCTCCCTATAATGCACATATATGCACACTACACTACATGTTGAATTCCACAACTTACAAATTCTAACATAAGCAAGTACGTATGCTCTTCCTAAATAAATGTACATCTGTTTGTAGATGCAAAAGATAAATTTCAGTACCAAACAAAAAGCTAATATCTTTATATCAAGATGGATTTCCCAAAAGTGGTTAAAAGAAACTCTTAGTGCGTAAAATAGTTATTTACATTCTCAACTAGTTTATCACCAACCAGAGGTAGAATTCAATACAAATTGCTCCGTGCTTTTAGACATTTCATAATGAACTATTCCAATATTCGACATAATTTCTTTGAGAGTAGCACATTCAATATAAATGGAGCTGCGGAAAAAAATAATTAACATAAACATAGTACTCAAACCAATACAAAAGATAATCAATAACTCAACTAAGCTTCCATAAGCTTATTATAATAATCCTTGAGCAATGTAACAAACAAGAATAACAATCTCATATCTTGCAGTTAAAAAAATAACACAGGGAAACATTCAACAATCACCTGAACTATTGCTTGCCATAATTCTCCAAATACCATTTATAGGTATCAACAAGACCATCCCGAAGCGAAATCTTGGGTGTCCATCCCAATCCAACAAGCTTTGAAGTATCCATAAGCTTCCTCGGCGTCCCATCCGGCTTACTCGAATCCCAAATCAATTCCCCCTTAAACCCCACAACTTCTTTAACTAACTCAGCTAATTCCTTTATAGTAACTTCACTCCCACTCCCTACATTCACATGTTCTAAATCACTGTAATTATCTAATAAAAATATCACAGCATCAGCTAAATCATCCACGTGTAAAAATTCCCTTAAAGGTGAACCTGTACCCCAAACAACAACCTTATCTAGGTTGTTAATTTTTGCTTCATGAAACCTACGTAATAATGCAGGTAAAACGTGTGAATTCTCAGGGTGAAAATTGTCATTTGTACCGTATAAATTTGTCGGCATTGCTGAAATAGCATCAAAATTATGTTGTAGCCTATAAGCCTGACACATTTTGATACCGGCTATTTTTGCAACAGCGTACCATTCGTTTGTAGGTTCTAAAGGGGCAGTTAAAAGGGCATTTTCGGGAATTGGCTGAGGTGCAAACTTAGGGTAAATACATGAGGAACCGAGGAACAGAAGCTTCTGGACTTTGTGATTGAATGACGAAACGATGACGTTTGTTTGGATTTGGAGATTTACAGTGATGAAATCGGCTGGATATGTGTTGTTTGCGTGTATACCGCCGACTTTAGCGGCGGCGAGGATGACGTAGTGAGGTTTCTCGGCGGCGAAGAAGGATTCGACGGCGGATTGGTTTGTGAGATCGAGATCGGAATGTGAACGGAGGAGGAGATTTGTGTAGCCTAATTGGTGGAGTTTTCGGGCTACGGCGGATCCGACGAGTCCGCGGTGACCGGCGACGAAGATCTTGGCGGATGTGTCTATCGGCATTTTTTTGTGTGTGGACTCAGATTTCGGTGTGTGTGTGTGTGAGAGAGAGAGAGAAATGAAATGAGCTAAGCTCGAGAGGAAGGAGCTAAATAATGCAAAAAAGTATTAGAAAAATAAGAAATAATTAGATAAATAAGAAAATAAAATTAAGATACAAAGTTTGTTTAGTTTCTTTTATAATCATGTGGAATTCAAAAATTATTGGTTCGGCTAATTTAAATTTTCGATGTAGGAAATATTTTATATTAAAAAATATTATTCTCAAAACTTTAATTCGAGGATCAAAATCAGAGTGGAGAGATCTCATTCATTATATCATAATGCATACGTTTCTTGAATTGGGAATAAATAAATTGAAGAATTAAAGTTTGCTCAAGGGGAAAAAAATAGGGCCAAAAAAAGAAGCTTTTTTATAATTATGTTTAAAAAATTTAGGATTAATTTAATTTATTTACTAGAATTTTGAGGAGTGAAATATTTGACTTACTACAAAAGATAGGACATGAAAAGCATATTCTAATTATCTATAGAAGGTCTTAATTTAATTCAAATATTCCATTTCTGCGTTTTTAGAGGATCATATTTCGCCTTTAATGTACTTGAAAATGTGATACAGCTAATCTAGTTTAGTTAGATTAAGCTAATTATTCATAATTAATTGAACGTAATAATTGAATAATTTAAGTCCAACAATTAAGATTGTGAAAAATATCATCTCATACACTTTGGAAAAAAAGAGTTAAATACTTTTTCACATTCAGTGTTTCTACCTAACCGAATAATTTACCTTAGCAATTACCCATTTAAGTAAGAGTACATAATTCAATCATCATTAAGTGATAAATATGTGTATAAAAGATAAATATTTTGCATTTATTGACTTTAGTATAAACATCGGGTGCAAGTAAGTATTTTGTACTGAAAAAGAAATATTTAAATTATGAATTATTTTAACACTCTTTTGTAAGTTCATGAACATATCTAAAATTACGATTAGGTACTATAAATACGGTGATTCACTTAATGATAATATAGTACTAAAAAATGGCAAAAGAAATTTATAATAATATTAGGTTTATTACGGGATATAATGAAGAAAAAAAAATTGATTTATTTTTAATTGCTCGATGTATCTTTATATAAGGAGAATTCGAAAAGAGAAGGAAAAAGGAGTGAAGGAATATAATAAGTTTAATGGGAAATAATTAATGGTTGATACGTTGTCTTCGATACTAAAAAGACCTGCATATAAATTCTTGAGAATTTTCATGTTATTTATTATGATAAAATTAATTTTTAATGAATGTGACATTATGGTTCACACCTAATGAATGGAGGAGCATTACTCAACATTATTATATTTGCTTTCTTTTACACAAATTATTTGGCAATATGAGTCACTTTTGCAATTGTTAATTTTCAAAAAACATGGCTACTAGTATGCAATGGAATATGCTAAGAAAAAGGAATCAGATGCTTGTGGAATATATTCTCCTAAATGATCAATATTAATGTTCACGCTATAAAATCCTTTAATTTGGATTGAAATGATTATTTACAAATATTGTTATTGATTTAATTTCCATTAATTGATAGCTCGTTCTTCTAGTTTTGAATGCCAATTCAATCACAACCTCTTATAAGATTTATATTTGATGGCACTAAAACCTCTTTTGAGATAATCTCGGATTGTTATTGAATTTAAGTTATAACGTTTTATTTATTGGCGGGTAAAAAAAATTCACCCCATAAATATAATTTGACATGTTATAGTAGGTTACTTATTATTAAGTATCGTTATCAGTCAATATTAATGATGAATTATATGCACTTATCTTTTAAATGACCTAATTTGAATAAATATTTCTTATATTGTTAATGCATAGGACTTTAAGTAAATAAGTTTTATGTTCAAATTAGGATTACTCGTTAATTATTCTTCATCATGATTTGTATGTTGAAAACAGACCAAAAATGAATGAAACCAATACCTTAAAAGGGAGACGTGGTTGACAGTTAAATGGCTTTTATAAGTTGTAAACCAAGAATCCGTAAAATTTACTAAGAACAGTAAAATAAATACTTATTGAAATTAAATGATAGTCAGAACACCACCCACCATAAATTAACTATTTTTTTGAATAACAACAACAACGATCCAGTAAAATCTCACAAGTAGGGTCTGGGGAGGGTAGTATGTACACAGACCTTACTCTTGCCCCAAAGGAGTAGAGAGACTGTTTCCGGAAGACCCTCGGCTCAAAATAATAAGAAAAATAAAAAGGAGAGAATATTAGTTTCACCACAGAGATCATAGGAAAAATAGGAACATAAAATGCAGAAGGAAAAATGCAAAACAAAAACGATGGCTAGTAAATAGATTCTGCACCGAAAAGAGAAAATAGTAAGACACTGCAACACCCCTAGCTATTTCAGACAAAAACCCTACCATCTAGGCTCAAAACAGTACAAGGTAACGCAAGAAAAAGCAAATAAGTTGTTGAAACTTGCCTTTCCATATGTAATTTTCAGTATAAGAATACTTACGTATATTTTTGTTAGTCAAATTCTGTTTACCTGGAAAATATGAGTAACAATTAAACTTGATTAGTAGTTTTAAAGATATGTGATTTAGTTCAATACCAATTGATAATCAAGAAATATGAAAAAAAAATAAAAGAAATAAGTGAATCAAACCAATGTTACTCAGCAGTAGCGACTTCGAGCTTAGTGACCTCGAGGTGGGTTTAGGGCAATAAAAATAATTAAGCAAGAAAAGTAAAGTAAGAGCAGTAGAGCTAAAGGACAATTCTGATGAACAATGGGCAGAAAGTAATATAGTATATTCTTTGTTAATGATTAGATGATGTTTACCAATGATTGGAATTCCCTTTATATAATAGGGAAACCCTAAATAAGGTACATTTCTATCTAAAGTAAGGAATCAAATTGGGACAGTTGTCTAACCGCCTAGTACGGATTCGTACTAGGTCGTACAGATAAATTCCGAAATTTATGCCACGATCTTGGGGACGTGGCGGGAATCTTGTCCTTCTGTAACAAACTTATAATGGCATTATCTCGAGGCCGGTCACGTTCGGCCTCGATGTTCATCGGACACTTTGATCTTCGAAGCCTCCCATCGGGCTCGCTCCTGATCTATATCGATCTCGCTCTTGAAGTGACACTCGAGCTCATGAAATTGGGTAGCCGCGATTTTTATCGTATACAGATAGTCCCCGTATTTCTGAGAGTATAACGACAAAAAATGAATTGAGTTCTTGATCTTTACCCTGATTTTCCACAACATCATCATCGTGACGTAAGCGACTGAGGAAACGAAAGCTTGGAAGTTGGCCTTTCCCGAGGAAAACTCCGAGAACTTTTAGCGAGTCCGGCAGCGGGGAAGGTTCTGAGGGCGAAGACACTTCTGATGATAAGGACCGTGCTGCTTAGGTTTTGTGCTCTTAGTAATTTTTTGCTTTTGAGGCCGATCGGCCCTTGCGGGGAACTCTTGATCGTGACCTATAGCTCTTGTAAAAAGGTTATACAAAGCCTTTTTCCTTTCATGGCTTATGAATCTGTCCCTTTTGTGCGGTTCAAAGCGCTTTATCATAAAATTCCTTTTGAATGTCCGAAGTTTGAGATGGTAATGACCGACAATAAGTTCTGCCCTCGAACGTTTCTGATCAATGGTCCCCGAATGACTATTCGAACTTGAGTTTGAGTAGCTCTTAGGCTCGACAGTCGATGAGGTAAGGTAGCCCTTGGGCTCGAAAGATAGTCCCGGAGTGAGAATTTTCTCGAACTCGATAGCCCTTGGGCTTAGTAGTCAAGTGAGTACTTGCTCGAACTCGAAATGAAAATAGCCCTTAGGCTTTATAGCTGAGTGAGGATTTGCTCAAACTCGAAGTAAAGTTAGCCTTAGGCTTCATAGATAGTCCCCGAGTGAGAATTTTCTCAAACTCGGGTAGCCCTTAGGCTCTTTTAGATTGGCCCTTAGGCTCTTTAAGTTGGGCCAATTTGGCCTCTAAAACGACTATAATTTTTCCCTCTTTTCGGCTAAAAGACTTAGTGAAAATTTCTTTATGCCTTAGCATGTGTTTTTTGTACCCATTGGGTATTTTGAGGGTTCAATTGATCAGAACTCGTTCGTGTTAATACCTCTTGAGGCTTTTTCGAAGGCTGATGTTATCGAAGCCTTTAAATTATTTGAAGGTTGATTTTATCGAAGCCCTTTTTGATTTTGCCGAAGGTAGCCGAGTTTAAACGGTTTTTCAAAGTATTTGAAAGCCTTTAATTTGTGGCGGAAGTCGGACGTCTCCGAGCCGCATTATTTCGGCCATAGCCTTTTATATGACTGTAGTCTTTAATATGGTCGTAGCCTTTAATATGGTCGTAGCCTTTAATATGGTTGTAGCCTTTAATATGGCCGTAGCCTTCGGGTATGTCTCTTGGACTTGTTTCCCGATAACCTTTCGAACTTGTCCGAAAAGTTAGTCCCCGAGTATGATGGCCTTGGCCTTTGCGTCGAGGGATGCCTCTTTGAGGTCTTATAAATTCGAGTTCAGATACTCGAATGCGTTGACTGTCAATGACAATCCCCGAGTATTCGAGGTGTATTTACGTTTTGGCCCCTGAGCCGTTTCTCGTGGAATCACAAGTATGATGTTCGTATAGTAGCAAGTTTCTTTGATACACAAAGTGTTTTGATATAGAAAGAATGCTTTTTTGTATAATTGATACATGCGTACATGTTTTGCCATCGGGGCTCGACTATTCGATACGGACACGGTTCATCTGACCATTTGGCCCATTACAAAGTTCTTCCATCGAGACCCGATGTCCTGATGTGATTTTCTTGTAACAAAGTAGACATTCGAGGGCAATGCCCTTCAATACTCGAGGCATATTGTAGGGAACCTCGGATACCGTTGAATTGCTCTAAGTTAGCACGACAATGGTTGCCTCATTAAAAACCTCGCCGGAAAAACCCATTTGGGACAAAAACCGGTCTAAGGGAAAAAGAGTGCAACGAGTGCTTTAAGGTCCAAAGCTTCGTGTTGATCCTTG